CTACTAGTGGCTCCTGGCCTTACTACTAGGAGCAAGGACGCAACTAGGGGCTCCTGGTGTTACTACTCCCACAACTTGCGCAACGAGTCTGGCGCTTCCCTCACCCCTTCACCGTGTTGGTGGGTAGCGGGGAGTGTGGTGGAATTTCGTTGTGAAAGACCAGCTAAACAAGAGGTTCTGTACACAAGTTCCTAGAGCCAACTATCTAAGTGAAACCGAATGTCCGCGCTGCACTTAGGTGATTCTAGGAGAGCTAATTACGAATGAATGGGCACGGAATCTAGTGACTGGTGCCTATCCGAGCTTGGCGAAGATAGCGTCGATAGAGAAATCGCTGATCGAATGTCAGATTATCTGATTCAGGAGCGAGAAAATAAGATTGGGCAAATTGCATAGGTACAAGGCCATCGGGATGGTAGGGGTCTCAGCGACTTCTCGTTTGAAGAACGGCTTTGAGACAATCCATCAACTGATCAATGCCAACCAATTCGGCAGCCACCCGCTTGCTCATTGTTGCCTTCCGACCCTTGAGTTTAAAAGCCTCAGGCAAACTCATACCAGAAGAACCTGATGGTGTATGGCGAAATATTTGTTCCTTGTACTCCTTAAGAGTCATCTGTGATTTGACAATTCTTTTTGCACTCTGCTCCACAAGCGCCCTGATGAACTTTTTCCTCATACTCAAATACAAAGATCTGTCCATTTCACCAGTCCCAATATCTCGTTTCTTTCTGGTGAAACATGAATTCAGACGTAGAGCAGCATCCTCTTCCATACTATGTTTCGGCTTCTATTTGCCCCTACCAATCAAATTGTGTAGGTATAGGTAGTCCGTGATCTCAGCGTGATCTTGCTTTTCAGTAGCATTCATTCTACCATTGAGTTTCCATTCCTTGCGCATATCTGATGTCACTGTCTTGTACTCTTCATCACTCAATGAAAATAACTTTTGTTGGTACATAATCATTTTAAGCTTTTGCCAAACCTCACCACGACATAGACGACCAGCCAGAACCCATGCAACTGCTCTGCCGTAACCCCACTTGTTGTCAATGGCCAGATTGCACAATTCATATTGCTCACACAGATCATCACCATCTATCGCATCCAAATATCTGCTTATCCTCAAGCGCCTATAAGGCAACAACTCACTTGGTGGTGCAGTCAGCAATGTCTCAATGAATCCATGGTGGGCTCCTGGTGTTACTACTAGGAGCAAAACCGGTGGGTGACCGGACTCTTTTGGGCGGAAACACATCTGCTCAGCTGCCCTGCCTCGCGCAGACAACAAAAATAGCACTCAACTCAGTCACCAACAAGGCGCCAATGCTCTTCGTTCTTGAGAATGGTCCGCTACACAAGTCCCAGCGCCCAACGGGACCAACGGGGCCAGGGGCGCTGGAATGCAGCATATGGTCTACATGATGGTCTTCATGTTCCAATCTCAGCCGAGAAAACCTCAAGAAGCACCTCAAGAAGCAGAGAAAGCTCTTGTTCCTCATGGCATGTCCATGATTGTCCATGTGCTTTTTTTGCCCACTCGGCAGTCCTCAGGGCTACAACCTCCGAGTAGGCTTGCCAATCCATGTGCATATTGCCTCAGCAGTTCTTGTTCTGGCTGTCAATTGGGTCTTTGGCAGCGACAGGCGAATTGGATGATGTAGACTATGTGGATGTGGTGAAATGAGCGAAACGGAATCTGAGAACACTCATGGGTTGAGGCCACTACCCCCCTCAACGCTCCGAAAGACCAAAGCTTGAAGTTTCACCCATGTGACATGCGTAGGTTCACAGATGGCGCCGGTCCAGGGGATTTGCCAGCGCCACAACAAACCTCCGAACAAGAAGGCCCAAACAGGCAATTTTATTTTCAGGGGTGTGGACCCTACGCCTCAATGGAGGTCTTCTTCAGGGTTTAAATCATGTTTTTGCCATGGGCTATGTTTGCGCCTTGGTGTACAGTGTGATTGAAGTTTCAGTTATGTTGTTGCCACTCTCCTACACCTTAAGCAGGTATGTGAGGGTATATGCTTGAACCTCCGACATGCGTAGGAAAATGTTCAATTCAATGTATTCGCATGCATCGCTTTTGAATGTCTATTTCTCCTACAAATGTGTCCTTGGTGGGATTTGAACTGCTAGGTGTGGGAGTAACAGCCGAACACGGGACTGCTTAACACCTTGCAGGAAAGATGGCACCCAAGTGATGTTGACAGCATTGAGCTCAAAGGCAAACTGCCTGAACATCAAGAGAGAGAGAGAGAGAAAGAGGGAGAGAGAGCGCATTAGAGTCATTAGAGACAAAGCAACTCATTGGGGCATATATACAGAGTGCCAGTATGGTGGCCGGGCAATCGCTTGCAGGAATCAGCGGCAGAAATCCAACGCAGGCGTTGTACACTAGCAGCAGCATCCATGAGACAAGACCCAGGTGTTCAGAGAAGGAATCCTCTTCCAGAAGCCTCCTACTGTGATGTTATGTCCCGTTTTGGGACGTGTTTCAATGACCAACCAAACCGAACCTAGTGTCAAACGGTTCCAAGTTCTTCTAGCACCACAAAATGAGCCAAGTTGCTTCGCCCACTCTCATGACCAAAACCCGACCTCTTCCCACCTCTTCCAGACCACTTCTTGGACTCGGAAACCGATCGGGGACTCACCGATTCCACCGATCTCGGAGCCGATCCACAGGACATCCCACCAAGCAGCGCTTGGATTGCAACTTCATGGCGAAGCGTTTGGTCTCCATCCTCGGGAGCACCGATCCCCACAGGAGGTCGGCGAGGCCGAGAAACTCGGGTCGGACGGAAGCGGTTTGGGATGATGGGTGTTGATGGTGGGATCCACAGCCGTGCGAATTTGGATGACGGATGCTCAGTTGCATGACAGAATGGATGAGACGCTCCTTGGATATCTATGGTTGCTATATGTGGCTATCTATTGGATCGCGAGATTTAAGGCTTTGGTGAACTATGTTCAATTCGCTTTACCTCTGCCTGCACCTGGTGAACTTTCACGAATTCGGATACAGTTTTAAGAGTCAGTCAGTGTAGGTCAATATTCCAACAAACCACGGGTTGTGTCTGTGGCTTTAAAAAAATACCAGAAAACCGTCTCATGGAGAGTCAGTGCCCCTGAGCAGTTCAGAACGCGGTTCCGCTCAGGGCACAGAGCGCCGTCGCTTTGCAAGCGCAAACGCAAGGAGGAGCGGGGCACCGGTGAAGGCACCTGTGGCAGAGGCCGGGGGTGGAGCAAGTGGGTAGGGGGAGGAAGGCCTGCTCTTCTAGAAAAGAGGTGCTGTAGACGGACTCTTGATCAATAAGCCACCCCAATATGAAGAGGCTTTACAATCTCAAATCTTAGGAGTCTACATGATTGATTCCAAATAATCTTCTTACAAACATCTTCTTCACCCTTTCGAGTCAGAGTCGAGTCTAATCTGTCGATGAATGAAAACACATGAACAAACCATCGAAGCCCCTCCCCCGCGTCTGCAGAATGCTTTTAGATCTGCAGGCCTTTGGTGCAGAAGATAGATTCATCGACCCTCTACATGAGTTCTGTTCTACCAGCAGTCAGAAAGGGGTGCCGAACTTGGAGGAAGTCGGGGTGCCCAGAACATCCCTCCACTCACTGGATGGGACTAAAGTGACTCAAAGCCACCCCGTCTGACTCGACTGGTACATGAGTTTTCTTCGGTTTCACTCCTCAGAGACCGACGAGCCACCGAGCCCTCGCCGCGTCGCGCAGGTCACGGTCTCGGTCGACCGGTCGCGCCTCGCACTCGACCTCGATGACCGTGCCGGACGCACCTGCGGCGCGCCAGCTGCGAGACCGGGGTCATGAGACCGGCGCAATTGGCTGGTTGAACATGCAGGGCGTGTTTTTTCAGAGGCGCCAATCACTTAATTAAGCTTCCAAAAAAATGCACAGCCGTTGGCAATCGCAAAGGTCCAACAAAAAAGGCGTCAATCACAGGTATGGAGAGATGCTGGTTATGGAGAGTCGTGATGTTTGCGATGTCTCAGTTTGATGTAACAGGGGATCCTGGGAGGAGGGGTTCTTTTCCAGCATCCTTCACTGGGTGCTACCATGCCGAACTCTGACTCCCACGATTCTTCGACGCCGCGAGGGGGTTTCCCTGCCTTGGCCCAAGGTCCGGACCTTTTTCCTGAGCCGTTCGTGGAGGAGCTGACATTCACCCTGTAGAGGTTTCAGGAATTCACCGGGTGTGAGAACCTGTTGGGGTCGTTTTCCTCTGGAAGCCCTCTAGGAAGTCGGGCAAAGCCACGCCCTCCGCGGATGCGGAGCGCGCCACGTGTTGGTTCTCCGGACGTTTTTTTTCGGACTCGAAGGTGTTCAAAACGTGGGTGGTGTTTAGAGGTGTTTAGGGTAGCTCATCAGGGATGCGGAGGGGGCAGCTTGAAACCTGTCCATGGCATCTGGGTGCCGAACATGTTGACCAAACATGAATAGATAGATTAAGGATGTCAACCTTAGATTTTGGTTTGGTGGAAGATGGTGGAAGTGGTTTTGACTCACAGCCATATACTATCATATACTTGTGCTACTTTGACCCCACTTCTCCAGCTGCCAAGCCATTCTGTAATCATTCGCGTGGCAACCATGACATTCACACGTGTCACAGCAGCACAAGTGGGGCCGGACACAGTTGCAAGAGACACACTCTAAAGAATACCTTCTCCATCGATTTGGAAATGTTCTTGCTCCTTTCAGTCACTACTGTGGTTTCCACGGGTTGTCTAAAGAAGCGCCCTCAATCGCTTCTGCAAAAAGTGTCGCAAGCGTCGCAAGAGTCCTACGCAAAGCCGCGTCCAAGAATCATGCATGATGCGTTCTCTCGTTTCCTCTAATTTAGAAAAAAAAACATTTAAAAAAGCGCTACCAACAACCACCTCTACAGGTGTATCAGTTGCAAGAGTTCTTCCATCACAAGTAGCAGAGAAACACTCTTGTTTGAGGCACCTCTCCATGCAAAGAAAAACTCTTATGCTGTATGCTGATCTGAGCTAAGCTCTTGTGACTCAGCTGGCAACACCTTGGTGTCCAAGCTGGCCTTCTCCGTGTGGGTCCCACGGATTTGTCAGACAGAGAGCCCTTTGCAAAAGGTCCAACGGGGGCTTCGAACATACATTTGTGCACAGCTACAGTGTACCCGGCCAGGCACCGGCTAGGCCAGAGAAGAACAAAGAATTTCTTAACTGATCCGCAAGCCCGCAACTGGTTAAACTGCAGTCAGCAAATACTTTCAAAGAGCCTCAAGCCTCAGATCCCAACAAACAGACTTGTCATCTATATAGATAAATAATAGATAAATGCATATCTTCCGACCAACTCTCCAAACCACAAGTGGTGGTCTGGAAAACAAAGAAACCATACAACACCAAACGAAAAAACTCTTAGACTCAATCCAACTCCTGACGCAAAGACCTCCTGTTCGCTGCCCAGCGTCAATTGTTCCAAGCCCATCTGCGGCCTCCGCCGCAGCAGCAGCCGCGCCAAGGACCCGCAGCCGTGCGCCACCAAGAGCGCGGAGACGCTGTGGAGCTCGTGGAGCTCGGGGGCCTCGTGGGGGGCCACCAGTGGGGCCAAAACGAAACAGCTCCTAGTAGCGGCCAGGGGCTCCTAGTAGCGATGCCAGGAGCCCCTAGTAACCTAGTAGCGAACCTTGCATGGCGGGAGAGCCGAGCGGAGAGACCCCCGAGAGGAAGAACAGTTCTTCGACGAGGTGGGCATCGGTCCACCTAGCAGGATTTCGGTCTGCCGGGGGGTTGACCCACGGCCATGGGAAAACAAGTCAGGAAGTTGGCTTGAAGTGGAAAGACCCATCAAGAACCTGTGCTTGGCAGGTCAAAAGTTTGTTTCTTGTTTAAGAAGGGGTCTGCTCTCTGCTCTAAGTTGCTTTAAACCAATCTCATGTAAAGTGCTCCCAGTCGATTCCGTCCAGCCGCCAGTTCCAGGATTCTTCCTCCACCTCATTTGCCGCTCCGATCGGGGTCACCCATGCACTGCAGCCCCGCCCCAAACGAACCGACAGTCGGCCGGATCCGGACCCTCTGCATCGCGCTGGGTGGATGCCTGCTCTTCATCTGCGTTGGGGAAAAGCCGCAGCAAGTGTCTGCTCATCGCCAGGTGCGTACTGGGGCGATTCGATGGACGTTTGTGAAAGAGGGAGGACTGAATCCTTCGGAGCACAGCCTGTAGACTACAGGTCACAGGGTACTAGGAGGATCCCTGCTGACCTAAGACCTGTACACATGAGAGGTGGTGCAAGATCTTGCTTCCTTGCGCATCACTTGATATGAATAAGGAAGCAGTCTTGTGGCACAGGTGGAGTTTTCGCTACTGACAAAGAGGTGGGGTCGCAAGCAGAATTGAGTTCGTGTTTAGATTCACTAGGATTCTGACCACCATTCATATATACAATGGTATTTACGGAACAACATGTGTTTTACTAAGGGCTTTAGATGACAACACCAGATCAACCTTTCTCTTTACTGGAAACTTCTGGAAATCAACGTAAATCTGCTAATTTCAACCTAGAACCATCAAAATCAAAAAGAATCCAAAACCACTATACACCGCTCAGTATTTGCATGGCAGGTGCCATATCCACTGCCACCGGGGAGGATCCATGCGTGACGCGCGCAGTCGTTGAAGTCAACAAAACCATTGGCACCAACAAAAATGCGTCTTGAAAAACCCGTTTGAACATACAGGATGGATTCTTGGCTGAACTCATGTACTTCCTTTCACCCAAATACTCAATGTTGGACTTCAAAAGTCCTCCAGACAAGAACACCTGAACCAAATCCACATCCATCCTCGGACCCCGACGTCGCCCGGTTTCCCGCTCCTCACGTTTTGGAGGCTCACCACGGACGAAGCGACCTCTGCATTCCTCCTGCCACGGGCGTTGAGACTGGTGAAGCGAAGCGACCAGGTGAATCGAATCAGTCCACCTCTTCGCTTGGAGTCGCCCATCCAAATATAGTGGATTGAGAGGAGTAGATGGCACAGACCTGAAGAGAGGTGGTTTAGTGTATATGAAGCTATGAACCCGGGTTTAGGACATCGGGTCTGTGCCATCGAGCCTCTGAAACCACTGTAAAGGATGACTTTTCCTGGGTAGGATGTCTGGAAGGGGGTTGGCAGAGCCTCATGATGGTGCGGAGCGCCGAAACGGGTCAAACACCTGTTGCATGCTCTGGGAGGCGTGCCCAATGGAAGGCTGTAAGTGCTGTAGGGAGGTGTAGGGAGGTGTACAAGTAGGGTGGGAGTGAAAACTCCTTTTTCCTCCTTGTGCGGCCGTCTAGAAGATCAAACTCATGAGGGAACTCGTGCGTGAGAACAATATTGTACGTGGGTCTAGAAAACATTCAAGTTGTGGTCGCCATCCAAAAGTTGGGACCTAAATTATTAGAGTTCCATAGAATTCTAGTATACTGTACTATACCGCAGGTTCCACCCCATTTTCTGAGAGCTGAATGTTCATGTTATCATGCTTCCACAAATCTAAGAATCAAGTCGTGCACGTGGTCTTCAAACACCATGGATTGTTGGTGAGGGCCAAGGGCGGCCTCAGGGTCATGGGCGGCCCACCGCCCATCCTCGTCCTTCAAAGATCCCATGGGCGGCCCATCGGCCGATCCTCATCACCCAACTCTCCGGCAGAAACGCGTTCGGGTCGGTCTTACTTCCGGGCCTCGTACCTCGATCGGGTTCCAGGAGTAGAAACAGCTGCCGAAGGTCCTCCGAGTTCAAACGAGAACTCTCCTGAGCGAGTGGGTCAGCCACTTTCCACATCTGTTCGGGCGTTGTTGGGAAGCCGAAGGAGGGGAGAGAGCGATCGGATGAGTGGCGGTACTTTCCGATTTCTTTGGGAGGATGAGAGGGTCAAAGCTCAAGCTACGCGAAGAAACTGGTTTGAGTAGCTTCGTTGCAAGATCTGAAAAGCATCCCGAAGTCTCTAGAGGTCTTGAAATGATTCAGGCAGATCCTGTGCAAAGGAAGCTCGTTTGTGATGGGAGGGTGTGCCCAGGTGCGCCCATTTGGATGATCCAAATGAAGAATGCCTTTCTTAGCGCCCCAAATTCATGGCACACGCGGCGGCCCAATTTTCTACATGTTTGTTGGCTGGAGAATGTCTCAGTGAAGCTACCTTTTGTGAGAAGGTGGGCCCCGAGAGCCTGCAGGGCTTGGGTTTCCTGTTCCTTTTGACCAGCGGGTTTGGATCATATGTTTCTGAGCCACAGTCGTATGAGTCATGGTTCATATGGACGTATATGTCGTTTACTTGACCCATATCCCGTCACTGCTCTGTCAGTGTGTTTTTTGACTCCGGCTGAGCAGCTTGCCCGTTAGCACCAGGAAGGGTCTGGAGTCACACTGAGCCAGTTTGTGGAAAGCGAACCAATTCTTTACCAAAAGGATCAAGCTACTTTCCTGTCGAATCTTCTTGGCCCACCTGGCCCACTCCTCCCTGTCCCTGACACCTGAACCTCGTCCCTGTCGGCGCCGTGAACCGCCGGGGGAAACCCACGTCCCGTCCCTTTTTCGTCCAGGTCACCCGCGTCAAGTGACCAACATCCGGAGCTGCTTCGCCCTGGCCCCGGCTCTTCCGCACCCGGCCATCCCAGCCAGCGAAGGGAGAGGAGTTCGGATCTCCGTCGTTGCGGCGACCGATTGGAAGCCATTGATGTTCTATGTAATGTTTTTCTGTTCAAACGTATTGGATTGATTTTGATAAGAATGAAGCTGTATCGGGGAATCACAAGCACACAACCACACCTTCCCTCCAAACATGGCGAGTCTTCCCAACGCCCTGCTTCTCTTCCCAACACCTTCAATATTAAAACAAATCACTTCCATGATTGTTGGATAAAAGGGCAAGGCTGATCCAGCTCCAAACAAACAAATCTGCGATTTCCAGGCATAACCGTGCAAGTACCTTCATCGATCAAAATGGTGGAATGGTGGCTTCTCAATGTTGATCTTTCCTTGGATATCCTTCGGTATGATACAGGACATAGAAAACCAACCACAGGAGCTGGAACTCCCTCAGGCCAAATAAGCGAGCCACAGACTGGAAAATGGCACCTTCATGGAGAAAGGATCATTGCTCACCAATTCGCCTGTAGCCACTAGCTTGCAGGCCCTTCTTCCACCATCTACAAACAATTCTGACCTTTTTCTCACACATCCCAAACCTTGCGACCACCTCCCACCCCGCGCACCTGCGGCACCGGAAGGCCACAGGCTTCAGCCGCCAGCTTCATGAGCTCTGCCCGGCAGGTGCGGAGCACCTTTCCCGGTGCGCCACGGTGACGGCTCCCACGGGGACCGATGGCGCCGGTGCAGTCGCCGGCAACGAGCGAGGTAGAACAGTGTCGGCGAAGGTGACTCCGGATTTTCACGGTTCAATGGTGGAGTCGAGGATATATGAGTGCACATGTGTGTTTTGCCTGGTAACCCTCGGCCCTTTGCAAGGTTGGTGAGCTAGCAAGTTTGTAAGGTAGAAAACTAATACTGTTGGGGTCCTTCTTTGGTTGTTGAACTCAACAAGAAGCCCTTGGAAGTATTGTATACCATCCCTGCTGCGAAATAACCTCTAAGTGTCGAACCTACGAGGGGATGTTTGTTGATGGCTCTAGTCTTATAGTTATTTCAGACTTCGAAAACCCGTAAACGCATGGCTATCTCTTGGGTGTATCATGGTGTATCCCGTTCCCTGGGCCCAGTGGATGATGGGAAACACACAAGCTATCTCCCATTCGAACGGTGAACAACCAAAAAGCGGTGAACAACCCATCCCTGTCCTACAGATCCTACGTGGCAACTCGGCCGCGAGCGCTCGCGGCGCGAGCCGCGCTCGACAGCGGCCAAGCACCACCCAAAGCTTCAAGCCCAGAAAATCCAGTTCCACCACATGTCACCACTAGCTGGCAACCAGTGCTTCCCAAGACCAAAACCGACCTCAAAACCCCTGGTTCCTTCCATGTTGCTTGGGATTCCGTCTTACGGTGACCGATCCAGACCCAACGGATCCGGTCAGATCCGACCACCTCACCCGGCCTGCTTGGCACCTGGCTGATTCACCAGAAACTCCAGCGCTTCGAGCTGCACATGTCGCACTGCGAGGTGGATGCACGTCTCTCCTAGCGCTGCGCTGCGAGGGGTGCGGCTGCTTCACGACCGAGACCCGCGCCCGCGGAGACGGACGAAGCGGTGGAGACGGGCTGGACGGTGCAGAGAAACGGAGACTCGAAAGGGAGAAGGGCTTGACTGGGGGATCGACGACATGAAGCAAAGCATAGGTGGCATAGGTCATTGGGGGGGGGGGGCGATTTGTGAGACAAGACCCATTGTTCAGGAGACCAAAAAGGGCCATTCCAAATCCTCTTTTGGGAAAAAACAAAAGCAGCAGACACGCTCCCTGGGTTCTATAGATTTACCAAAGTGTGACTCTCCGTTGGGGGGTCAGCGGTGTCTGTTTTTCTCGCATTTTGGTGCATGTGACTCGTGACCTATTCTTTGGGAAAGCACAATCCCTAAGCCACAACATGCCACAACCCCACCCAGCCACCTCACACAGACCCAGCCTTGGGAGTTGCGCACCTCTACTTTGCCTCACGCGAGCCCAGCGAGGAAGCGAGAGGTCAAAGAGACACCCAAACTTGGCGAGACGCATACTAGACTTTCACGCAGCAAAGGGGCCCCCACTTGGCAGATACAGAGCACAGAAAAAACAACAAATCTTGAGAGGTGTGTGTTTCTATTTTTGTTATCGGGTTGGACTCTCGGAACCACTGTTGATAATGCCACGCTCGATGTTTTTGAGAACCCGCCACCCGAAGGGTGTCAGTGTCATCTGCTGTGCTGGTGTCCACCTCATACAGTATTCATCTTGCCTTTGGGATTCCCATCCTCCTGCACAAGAAAAGCTGTACACATTCCCAAGTCCATCAACGTTCAGAATAAAAACCCACCACAAACCACTCAGTTTGCATGTGCTATGCACAAAAAGAGTGGTGAACTAGGTACAGTAGATTTGCCATGGCCGCCTCTTTTCTTTGTCAGATTTTGGCACTGTTCCAATGAGTCACAGCACAGCATCTGCAAACAAGACCCTCTCGGCACGAAATCCAGAACCAACCCGACAGACACACAGTCATAGAAATGCATACCGATGTGAATGCGGTGCCACACGCCAGCCTAAGTGAAAAACCTGAAGGGTTCAAGTAAACGAAACACAAAATGACTGCCCTCACCTCCAAGCTCAAAATGCGTGACTGCCAATGCAAACAGGCGCGATGGCCAGAAGTCTTGTTCTAGTTACAAAGGGGCCCAAAGGGAAATGAGTGGTGATCATCTTCCCGCAGGTACGTGCAATCTGCGTCCAGATTGCATATCACAGCAAACTTGAAGTGTCTTCGTTGAGCGGTGACTTCAAGAATGCCCACCGCTCCCCTGCTGAAAAAACATAAGGCAAAACAATCCTACAGGATCCCTGTGACTCCAAGGGGCACACACACACGCACACGCCTCCCCGAGGGGAGGCGAGAAATTCTAAGGTCTAGGCGAATGTGCACGTGTGTGCACAGCAAGACAAACGAGTGAAGACATGAAAAGAGGACAAGACGGGACAAAGGTGTGTGTGTGTGTGTGATTGCAATGAAAGGGAACCAAGTGCACAGGGACAACCGATGAAGACCCACCTCATTGTAAAGACCTGGGCGACCGGAAACCTGTGTTAAAGTAGGTGGTGCACGGATATACTAGGGGCCCCGCCATTTGTGCGCAAAAGAGGAAAAGAGATGAGATGAAAAGAAATGAAGACAGAAAGACATGAAAGAATAGAGGAAAACAGAGGTATGTTAAGGGGAAAAGGATGAACAGGGAACCAAATGGAAGGGACGAGAAACGATGAAGCCACACCTCATTAGAGAACCTATGCAAACCTGGTTGAACATGTACGTGCTGTGTGTACACCAAAGGCTCCGGCACACTCCAGCGAGTTTTGAACTTGAACAAGCTTCGGCCGCTGCGGCCACGTACGCGGTGCCAAAATGGCTGGCAGCTTTGACCGCTACGGTCACGTAAAGGCATGAGCCAGCTTGGAATGCAAGAATCCGACAAATCTTAGCAAGTAACTTTGGCATAAGCCTCCTGCGCTCGCTGCGAGCTGCTCTGTGTCGGGGCAGGGGATACGTTCGAGTAACACCCGTTCAACGGGTCCACAGGGGCCACTCTGCGGGGTCACCCTGGGCTCTCACTAGGAGAGACACACTCATAGAAATGCGTACTGATGTGAATGCGGTGCCAAACGCCAGCCTAAGTGAAAAACCTAAGGGTTCAAGTAAACGAAACACCAAGTGACTGCCTCATCTCCAAGCTCAAAATACGTGACTGCCAATGCAAACAGGTGCGATGGCCAGAAGTCTTGTTCTAGTTACAAAGGGGCCCAAAGGGAAATGAGTGGTGATCATCTTCCCGCAGGTATGTGCAATCTGCGTCCAGATTGCATATCACAGCAAACTTGAAGTGTCTTCGTTGAGCGGTGACTTCAAGAATGCCCACCGCTCCCCTGCCGAAAAAACATAAGGCAAAACAATCCTACAGGATGCCTGTGATTCCAAGGGGCACACACACACACACCAAGAAAAAAGACGCAAATGTTTAAACCAACGGCACAGACTCACTCACTCACACACAAAAAAAGGTTATGGTATGTTGTGGTTAAACCAACCGCACACACATACATCACAAAAAGAAAACACGTTAAAGAAAAGAAACATGTCTTGGCGCATCGGCGCAGAACAAAAAACGTGGGTTCTGCCGTTCTGCCGGCGCTGTGTTTGGGCAGCGGCCGCTCCGCTGAAACCGGCCTCCGCAGCTCATGATCATCCGCAGCCCCTCCACGAAGCCACTCTGGGCGCCCAGCATGGTGGCGGTCACCTGCTGCGAGTCCTGCTGCGATGGAGAACGGCAGTGCGACGGTGCCCGTTGAGGCGCCGGGGTGGGAGACGGAGGTCTTTGTTTGGGAGGGCTAAGATGGTCTTGGATGGTATGGCCATCTCTGGATGGTATGGTCTCGACACACCGGTACGGGGTGGCTGCCAGATCTGACCATGTGGTATCCTATCGCTGGTGACAAACAGAACACCCGGAGCAGATCTGTGGAAACTTCTGGCTACTCCAACTTCTCATCTTGTGACCCCCCCCATGTAAAACTGACGTTTGTAACTGAACCGAAGCCGTTCAACTCGCCCCAAACCCAGGAGACAGAAGGTGTGAGACCAAGCCCAAAACCAGGCATGAAACCGAAACATCATGTATTATCATGTATTCACCTCAAACTTGGCATTGACCAAGCCAAAGACCTGGGCCACCAATGGGTCAAGTGATGTTGTTTTTCTTCCAAGCACCTTCCAGGTCCCATGCGTCCAGTATGGGTCACGGGTCGTGGATCAAATCAACGACTCTGAGTGCCGCGATTCGCGGGATGACCATCGACTCTGAAGCCTCCGCCCCCGGTTCCTGCACATCCAAGACCTCAAAACCGTGTCACATCGTTGGTGCGCTTTGGATGACCGTTTGGTGAAAGACACGATGACCGTGTCTTATGTGGATTTGGTCTAAAACATTGGACAACATGATCTGAGCCTAAATGGGGTAGTGAACGAACACCGAGCTATTCTTTGACACCCCCGGCTTCGGGGGCCCTAGTAACGTATGTCGTCTACCAAGCCATACCGTCGTTGAACCTTCCGGGGGCCCTCGTCAGCTCGTCAGAGAGTGGACCGCAAGGCCCCCGTCTTCGAGGGGCGCGGACGGGGCGGACGGCGCCCCGCCTTGGTCGGGCCATTCACATCAAGGACTTCGCCTCCCAAACCTCAGAAGCCAAGGATGTGGAAGAAGAATACAACTAAGGGGTGTTTTGGTCTATTTCCTTCTTCCAGAGCATGTTTTACATGTAAAAAAGGTGTTGGTCTATTTCCTTCTTCCAGAGGGTCCCTCTTTAAATACACACAAATGCATTGATACAATTGATAGCATCCAACAAGCTCTCTAATTAGATCTATGTAATTAGCATGTCTTGGAGCCTCCAAGGATGTTCCACACCTACTCACCAGTCCTCTCCCACTCACACCACTCCCAATCAAGGGAGTCCTCTGACCGAGCGTTTCTCGCCCATCATTTGATTTCAAACCCCAGCCAGAAGTTCCAAAGCACGTTCGTTGAACACACAAACACACAATACACTCCTGGAAGTGGTTAAAATGGGCCGGTTGGATGACCATGTTCCGTCCATCATTCCTCTACATTCCCAAAACGACACTCCACATCCCTCATGGGCAGTTAGAGAAAAGCGAAACTCTTCATCCATCAAAACCACATGCATCGAGACTTGGACCTCACCCTGAGCCCCGAAGGATTCTCATCACGAGTTCGTCTGATCCATCACGAGTTCGTGCGAGTCTCCAAGTCTAGCATGCAAAATCTGTCAGTCATCATTGGCCATCTATAATTGTCACAAGTGATGGACCTAGGTCCCCTGGGGACCTCAAATCGGTTCTTCAAATCTCTGGGGAAAACCATGTGCGGTTCCAGGACTTGCTGGAACTGTGAGCTGCTATGGTTCTTGGTGAACCACACAGGATCCCTCATTGTGGTCGACGATTCCTCCATCAAAAGCGGCTTCGAAGATGTGGCTGTGGGTAGTCTGTTCTGTTCATTTTGGGTGGGAAAATCCATGAAAAACCAGGCTCCTAGCACTCGTTTTGCGCGGCTGAACTCCTCAGTGCACGGCTGAACTCCAGCAACTTCCGCACTCGGGAAATCCTGAGTGCGACGGGTATATACTGTAACTCAGGTGTCACACTAAGAGCTGACTCCACTGGGGCCACCGCTGAAATTCGGTGCGAGCAACTAAAAACGCAATGAGGGTGGCTGGATCCTATCTATAGTCCGGGGGGTCATTCTCTTAGTCTCTAATGTAGACTCTTGATTAATAACCCCAGTCATTTGAATTGAACATCCTCTTCATATGGGGGGTGTATGTGTGTTCAAGAGTCTACATTACTAAGCACCTGTCAGTGCTTTGCTGTACCAACCCCCCCCCCACATCCGAGTTTTGCAATTGGAGGGCTCTCGCCAAAACGGTCCCTTTTGATGGGTCCCCCAACAAGAGAACCGTCCGAACCCCCAAATCCGAATGAATACGCTTACGGCAAAGCCTTTGGTTGGGAAAAAGAAAGAACTTGCTATATACTGAGAACATCAGGTGTTCTATGATGTTCGAGGTTGGTCCCTTCTTGGGCGCTTTCCCTTCTCGAAACATCTTGGAGAGCCCATGGTTTGTCCATGAAAGCATCATTTGTAGAAACACGTCGTTGCTTTTGAAATGGGTGAGCAAATGTTGTCCTGATCTGGACATGATGCCACATCGTGGATCCAACGAAATAAACCAAAGCTTTTCACCCATATTCTGGGCTCAGCAAGATGAGTGCGAAAAACGGGGCAAGGGTCATCAAGTCTGTATTCCGGTGATCCTCCTTGGGATGGATCAGGGTTGCTTTAAGGGGGAAGGAGAACAATAAAAACCACTGGGTCTGACAGTCGGCACTGTACCACACTGAACAAGGATGGACCGTGGAGTTAACTGCCGTCTCTGGAAGGGAAAAAGACTTGGGACAAGTGTTTGATGGACAAAACATGCTGAACCCATGTGTATATATATATATATACAGTATACTTCCAATGATATAGTCACATATAGTCAATACTATAGCATCAACGTCTTCTTCCAGATCTCTAATGTCTTCTCTTGTCACACAAACGTTTCGCCAAAACCAACGGCTCCCACCCCACAACCCCTGCGACCGACTTCGGCCCCTGCGACCGACGCGCCGGTGGTTCAGCATCGCGGTGTGCAGGTCGTCGCCCGTCACCTGTCGCTCGCTCGATCGCGGTGTGGGAGGTTCCCCACCAGCGAGGTTGGTTTCCACTGATTTGGCCGACTTGGGAACCGAAACTCATGTCTTTGGGAAACCATTCCAAACACACAATGTCATGGTCTTTGGGGATTTTACTGCTGAGGTCAAAGGCCATGGCTGCTGAAGTCGGTGCCACAGATGTTCCTTTGTCGGCAGAGAGTTCTGATGTGTTCTTCCGGAGAGGACATTCGGCAGTGTGTCTCGGCTATCCTTTGTTGCAGACTTGGAAAATCTTTTGAATTCTTTCCAAATTTGCCCTGGACTTCATGTTTTCCAGAACCCTTCGATGATGATGAGGAGCTCCCCTTCGACACTTGCAGAAAACTCTTGAGACTCTTGTTTATTGTTTCTTGTACACGACCACTTGCGTCTTGATAGGTGCTGTAGAAAGCTGCAAGATCCGGATCATCCTGTATGGTACCGCTGATTATTGCCAACAATACATGGCAGCCTCAGACTCTTCCCTTTCGCCTATTGTTCCAGCATGTCCTCATCACCTGTGTCCTCCAAAACAGGTCCATGGCGACCTCATCATCTTCATGTATGTCTTCTGTCGACCATGGTCGACTGGTCCGCGGAAACGTTCGCTGCGCGGACCCTGCGCTCCTCACCGTTCGTCGCCCGGGTGCCTTGAGGGCCGTGCACTTGAGGCCTTCGCTCACCACCAGGGAGATCACCAAGGACCACGCCTGAGTTGGGGGTGAGGTGTCCAGGGGTCTGGAGCGATCCACCGAGCCCTGGAAAACATGGGATGTCCAAATGAGCCCCCATAAGAATTTTAAGCGCTTCGCCGGTACTCGAAAGGAATCTTCCTGAATCTTCTTGAGGAATCTGTTAAATTAGAAGATTCGAACGCATGCTGCTCTCCCATACTCAATTCCACCACTCGAACCATCTTGAACCACAGCCTCGGTCAGAGAAATGGCGCATGCAACCACTACGCTAGGATCAACGGGGCTGTGACACAGGCTGACTAGAGATTGAGGCTAGCAAGATTCGTTCTTTCTTTCTGTATATGTTTCTTTCTTTATTTTATGTATTTCTTTCTTACTACCAGTAAGTAGTTGCTTCTACAAGGCTGTGCAATGCACCACTTTGGTTAGCACTGGAGCTTCCAGCTCCTGCAGAAGCATCGTCCTTCAGTCCTTGGATTTGCTGTCCAGGAACCGGGAAAAAGTAAAAACACTTTCTCCAGAAGGGAATTTACCCATCGGAAAAATATGGACAAATAGAACCACCCGATGAGCAAAACTCTGATAAACCATGGAACCCTGAGAAAAGACCGTCAGAGCACATCGAGGAACTTGGTCCACCTTTTCAAGGAACGGGTTCCACCTTCCACAGCTCCTAGTTTAAAACAACGGGCACGCATTGCCAGGCCGGGCCAAGCGCATTTTGGCAGGTTTTGGAGCTCAGGACATCATGGAAGTGGATATGGCCCCCGCAGGGATAACCAAACTGGTGGTGTTCCACTTCCATGAGGTTTCCAAGGAGCATAAGTCTTGTTTTGGGGGGGAGTTGATTCGCCAAAGATCCATGCCGGCGGAATAAGAATTGAGTATAGTTCAGTCGTTCAACATCAAATCCGAGCGTCCAATGGATAGCATCTCAGAAACCGCATCTCCTGCTGCCTGAAGGAGCTAAGGTTCGCGGTTCGCCCGCGTTGAGGTACGGGAAAAAGACAGTTGCAGGGGAATCGCTGGGCCATTTCCTTTGAGCATCGAGCCAAGGGGAGGCCATTATACCGCTTAAATAAAGATCCGATCCGAACAATGGTAGGGGCATTCCTATACCCACACGACTTCCAAGACTACTCATTGAAGGGTTGACCTGTTGTAGTCTGTTCAAGTAGAACAGGGTATATATGGTTAAAGATGGTTAAAGTCTACTATACTTGAGGACCTGAGGATGAAGGGAAAACAAAAATCTGTATATAACGCCCACGTCACGCTTCCCCCCTGTTTTGTTCAAGTCCAGTCAATCATGCGCTGGGTGCCTCCATGCTTCAAATCATCGCCATCCCAATGACTGCTGTCCACGGCTCTTTTTGAAGCATGAACCATCTTGTCTTGTACATTCTTGTACACTCTTTATATACGTAGGTATCGTTGCTTGCATGAGATCTTTGTGTCAGGTCCATGTCAATCCAAGTCGTCCCCCTGTCGTCCCCCTGTGCCGCCCGTCGCCCGGCTCCGGGCCGGGGACCTGCCTCTCGCCCGAGAGAAGGGTCACATGGAGCACCACGAAAAGGGCGACCAAGAGGAGGAACTGGAGGCGATGCCACCTGAGAGGTGAAGACGAAGTGTCGGGGGTGTTCGGGACCACGTGCCGGCCATGGATGGGGTGGTCATGGAAAAGCCCCTGAGGAAAAGAGGGGAATCAAGGGGTATTCATGAACCACCCAACTCCCGTGGGCCCTGGTCCGCGATGCAAGATGCTATGAGCTAGCAACTTCTTTCTTTTGGGGGGGGGGCTGGGGCGAGCTGGGCGAGCGAGAGTGTCCGCACCCAAAAGCCGTCAAGCACATAATGACATGTGTTCTACACACATGAACAAAGCTGCAAGCTACAGCAAGTCGTTTGCTGTGGGCCAACCTGATGTCAAAGGAGGTGCCTAGGCTTGGTGCTTAGGTCTGTCTTCAGCACCAAGCCTCCGCACCAAGCCTGCGTGGCCTTTCTGGGCTGCGAGCCCCTAACCCTCCCATCTCCTCCTTCGATCTACCGGGCTACCGATCCACCGCCCGGCTGATGCAGCGCGCCGGGTAGCAGAACCCGGGCCGGTCCACATAGCGTGCTCCCTGAGGAGCGGAGCGTGGAACAAAGGGCGAAGTACTCGGTACTCAGACTCTGGGCACTTCATGATACGTGACCCAGGTGTTGGGATCTTTGGACTGTTCTGGTGTTTCATGGTCTTCACAGGTGTTGGTCACCCATCACCCAAGGTGTGACAATGAAGTGTTGGGATCTTTGGATTCACCTAGCTTACTCCCAGATTTACACAACCCACCAAGTGTGTGGAATCCTACACTGGATATCACTGGATTTCATTGTCTTATATTGTCTTCACATCAATTCACCCTGTGATGGGGTGGTCCGTGAGGTCTCCAATGGCTCCGCTGCTCACGTGGGGTTGCACTGGATCGCCCCGACCGACGCAGGTCTCCACTTCTTGGTTTCTCAAGGAGAAGAAAAACCGGCCAGAACGATCCACACACAGGGGATGATTTGATGCAAACCCAAGGGCTTGTCTGTCTTGACCATGGCCCTCAGACTCCGGACCCGGTGTCCGAAGGCTCTCGGGACGGAGGGGACCGAAGCTGCGTTTTTATGAGGAATTTCAGGGCATCTGCATTTGGGTGTTTGATACACACCCATTTTGCTGGAGGTGACCCAGTTTCTTCGTGGTTATCAAAACGCCTATAGCTATCCAGCCGCCTCGTCCACAAAGTAGGAGTCCCACCCGCTTCATCGTCCCCTGGATCCCACCCAGACAGGTCCGGCACCGACTCCTTTCTGCCCAGTCCTCGGGATGACCCCCCACAACATCCGCCGAGGCGCGTCCGCGACCAGGAGACCGCAGGCGACCGCGAAGTGGATGTAAATCGACTCATCCTCTGGAGAGTATCTCCTTAGGAGAGCGGCGCGCCCGCGGCGCCCGCAAACGCGCGCCGGCAGGTCGGCAGGTCTCCAAACCGCTGGAGGCGGTATTTGGAAACAGGTCTCCAAACAGTCGATCCATCAAGGATCTTCCGTGAAAAAAAGTCCTGATCCTGCTCGACCACTGTTCTTTTCCCATGGTATTAGGTGTGCTGAGGTCAACATGTCTGATCAAGCATGGAAATCATGGAACTTGTAAAGCGACGTCGCTTCTTGGCCGCTTGGCTGCCAGAAGATACAGAAGCCAGTTATCCCTGTAAACAGTCTTGACACTTCAAAGAACCATCGAGTTGGTACTAACGATGGCTGAATGTGTCCAGTTTCTTGTGATCGTATTTGGATGGGCGTCAGCGTGCGTGGGCCTGTGTCAGCATCATCAGGATTGGAGGGACGGCAGGTTATCCCCGCACAAGTTCTGCTGAATAGAAAAGGGACATCAAAACATATCAAAACCAGTGCGCATTGAAGTCTAATGTCAATGGCATTGGCATGCATGAACATGGTATATATAATATAAGTATATATAGTTATACATACTGCTTTACACCAGAGTCAGGCTGATGTTGCCACGTTGCGAATGATTTGAGGGGGAGCCGGTACAACGTTTCACTTCCTTCCATGGGGGAACCTGTCACTGTATACATGTTCAGTTTCTTCAATGCCCGTTTTCGATGCGTCTGGCCAAGCGCGTCCGCAACTGTTTCCTAGAACTTTGCACTTGCATGGCAAGCAGGAAGAATCCTTGAGTGACCAAAAAATCTGCAGAACGTCTGAGTCACTTGGTCGTCTTTTCAGCGGCTACGCTGGACGAGCGCTCTTTGGTGGGGGCTAGAAGCGTTGAAGACTTCGCCCAAAACGAAGGATACGCTGTGTTTTTGGACCCAATGAATCTGAACAGGTGGAGTTGAACATGGTCAGCTTCACGTGAGGTTCCCCCCAGTTTCATGCGTTCCAAGTGGGGGGATACGATTGTTCTCGCGACTGGTATGAATATGTCAACAACTCTTTTGACTAGAGAGACGCCCCCAGCATGTCTTGTGGCAGAGAGCGCCCCTCGGTTGCTTTTGTAAGTGTTGTTTGCACACTATTTGTTGCCGTTGGTTGCGCAACATTATCAAAGACGTATAGATGTGGGTTGGGTGGAGGGTTAATGAAGCTGCATGCACGCAAGGTACATACGTCAAGGGCAGTTCAGAACACTCACCTAAGAGTCCTTGCACAGTGCTATCGGCCACCTGTGCCACAGACACCGCTTGAAAGATTGGTGAAGAGCCGCTGAAACGAAATGACACACAAAACAGCATTACCACTCAATAGCGTTTGAAACATAGTGAACGCGCCGCGCTCCCAGAGGGCCCTCCCTTCATGTTTTTGGCTCCTTCCTTCCCTGAAAGATACAAGTTGTAAGATGCTGTGTACAGGAACTCTAATCTTTTCCGTGCTTCAATATACCCTTCAAAACAGTCAGAACCAACGAGTCCAGACTTAGCAGCCCAAGCTTACAGAATGCTCCCATTCAGCTAGCTAGCTTCGCTCCCGGCACAGCTGCGAAAACGAAAATTACGCCTGGCATAGATCCCAAATAGCAAAAATACTTTTGTGGGCAGCACACTGCCGCGGCACTCTGCAGCGCCCAAGCTCCAAAGCGCAAACAGCCACGCATCTGGCAGCGGCACATCGCAGCGGCACCAGCACCCAAGTTCCAAAAGGCACACGGCTGGCAGCGGCACCACACCCAAGCTCCAAAAGGCACACAGCAGCAGCACCCCGAGCCATACACTCGGCAGCAACACCCAAGCTCCAAAGTGCACACGGGCCACATACCCAAGTTCTAAAGAGCACACAGCAGCGGCAAACGCACACAGCAGCTGCACCCTGCAGGGCACCCAAGCTCCCAAGCGCACACGGCAGCGGCCCTGCAGCGGCACCAGCACCCAAGCTCCCAAGCGCACACAGCAGCGGCACCCTGCAGCAGCACCAGCACCCAGGCTCAATAACGTCTTCCTATACTTGAAGTAAGAACCCCAATAGCTCACGCTATCTGGCGAATTCAGAAAGAACAGCTCTTGGGCTTCAACACCAGGGTCCAATTGGGTTCCAGGGCACCCGGTCGCTTCGCCTCACCAAGTCTCTGCAAGATCATGAGGAGCACGGCGAGATCCAACAAGACCACCAAGCACGTGGTGAAGGCCCCCAGCCTTGTACGATCCGGGCCCCAAGGACCGAACGGGGAATGGACCGAACCGGAAGCTACGCACTTGTAGACCAGGAGTCACATGGAGTTAGGTAGTTTTGAGTCCCATCGAGTGAGTGGATGTGGATCATGGGCACCCCTATCCTTCAAGTTTGGCATCCCGTCGAACCTGACTCCTGGTGCAACTGGTGTTCGCATACAATTCGTGTTTGGGTGTCTGTCCGTTCTTTTCCATATATGAAGAGATATGAAGAATATAAACACGAGGTTCAGAAATCCCGAGCGCTGGCATCGTGGAAGGAACGTACTCGGCGTGGCATCCAGCACTCGTAGGTCGTGGTTCAAACGGGCAAAGCTCTAGACTCGATAGATGACAGGTAGACCAGACGCATGTGTCCGGGACGTGGCTCTCCAAAGTGGCTGCCGTTTTTTGGGAAACCCCTCACGGGGATGAAGATGGAACCATTCATTCATCCCCCAGCTATGCCGTTCCAGCATTTCAAGCTTTGGATGCAACACTGGCTTCCACCCCCACCACTGCGAAGGCATTCCAAATTTCAGCACACGTCCAACTGGGGGGGAGGAACCCCCCCTCCCCCGCTCCATCGCAAAACCACGCCACAGGCCCATTTTGTAGGCGGCAATGCCCAAGAAGCTGCACAGCCTTCGGTCGGCTCGGCTCAGATCCCCGCGGACCGGTCGAGCAGCTTTGCGCGCGCGCGCCACGCCACGGAGCGGATGGTTGCGAAGCTGGTGACCGAGCTCTGAGCATCAGAGACCATCAGTCACCTAGAGCCTGAGTGACCCTATTTTGGCCTAGAGGACCTAGTGACATAGAAAATTCTAGTACGAAAAATAAGTGATACGATTCCAGAGAATCTACTACGAGTTCAGGAAAAGTGGTCGATGCCCAAAAAAGTAGTACGAATAGGATTGTGGATTTGGGTTGGGGACACACACACCGACATTCAGCCCTGACAAGCCAATGCACATCATGCACTTCCTCGACTTCTTTTCTCGATTGGCCGGGAGTCTCAAGGCAGCTCAGAGAGCTTTTCGAGGTATGAGTGGTCGAATTCTTTTGCCCACTCTCTTCGGTAATACCCCAAGGCTCTCTTGATGGTGTTGGAAGTCGCTGTTAAGCTATGTGTTCTTCTTGAGATACGAGAGATTCTTCCAATAAAGTCCTCATCGGACCATGTTGCATGGCAAGCTGGGTTTTCGAACCATTCGCCATCACTCAACTCGAGCATATGCTCAAGGTCTTTCCTTGATTGGCCAAAAAGGTCATGTGAACTTAAGCCAACTGGCCAACTGTTAAAAGAGAACCAAGTGGCACTAAATGGCATAGCATGCGCAGCTTTGGACGGATTTTGAAGCCAGCAATGCCGCGTCTTGCGCATTGGCTTGCCAGGGTCGAATAGCCATCCTTAGGATATAGGACCTACAAGAAAGGACATCGGACATTGATAGCTATATACATTGACTCAGTGAAGCGTGCTGAACCTTTCCAATTCGCCCTTTTAAGTCTAGCCACGATGAACGCCCAACCGTCCCGGACAAGGCCAATGGCCTCTCTTCGCCCCAGCCACACTCCATTATTGTAGATGCACCTCCAAAAGCGGTTGATGGCTGTACAGCTCCATCGGAGCACTTCAAGCATTTCTCGAAAGTCTTCCTCCTTAGATTGCTAAGGATGTGGTTTTATCTAGATCGAATAGCTAAAACCTAGAACAACCCAAGATCCAAAACGTTGCACACACCTTTTTTGTTGTATGCATTTTCTTGAAAACAATGTTGAACACATCCTTGCTTCGAATGAGGCCACATCGAGTTGGTCGAGTTCTTCGTTCAACCATGCCCCTACAACACCGGCGTCTAGCCCTTTGCCAAGGCCGCGAGGGAAACCACGTAGCCTTGGGAAAACGAAAAGGGCGAATCACTGAATATTGGCAGAACCACGAACACGAACCAAGTGTTACTACTGCATTGCATAAAACCATATCACCATCAACCATATGTGCAAACAGGAAACGAACCAATTGGCAATTTTAGGGTCTTGTGGCTGAACTCTTGGATGCTGGTGTGCTTCTTGTGAGCTTTGCAGAAGGCTACAAAGCGAGAGTAGGCAATCCCGAAGCTCCGGTCTGTAGTTCCATGTCCAAAATGGCCAGCCAACAGCAGCAAGACAATGCTGCTAGCGTAGTAGCATTTGCCAACCCCATCTATTGCAAAGGTATGAGCAGGGTCGATACGAATCAGCTCGGGGTTTCCTTCAAAAAAAGAAACATCTCGTAAGGGAGAACGCTGACTCTTGAAAGGATCCGGGTTGATGTCGGAACGACGAAGCTGCCTCACAGCACCTTTTACGTCCCACCATTCCTAGGAGCATGTCAACGACAAAGGATTGTTTATATGAAGACATGCATACTTGTTTATGACTTGCAGACATGGCTGATGCATACTAAGAGTCGTCAAGGGTACATCTATGGCACTTCTTCTTGCAATTAAAGCCACAGTTTAAGGCCATGCTTGACCTTAAGAATGGCCAATCGCCTTTAAGGCTGACCACCACCAAGCGGTACTTGTATACTTCTCCCTTCCACAAGACCTCGAGGGTCAAACAGAAGCCGGCTGTGGGTTTCCACTGGCATGGCCACAACATGTGTCACTCAAAGTATCACAAGCGGTCCATGGAGTATGCATGTGCCTCTTTTTTGCCCCTAAGTTGCTGTGATCCCCTCTGTGGCCATGCTGTTCAGGTCGGAAACCCACACTCGCAGCAGATCGAACAAGCAGGCTTGGCTGTATGGCGCTGGAAGGATGGTGAAGAGCAAGCGGGTGCACATGCTAGGCCTTAGATGGTCAACCCCCTCTTTATATATACGAGTGTTCCTAAAGCCCCTGAAAAGAAACAAAACAAGCTAAAGCTTTGCAATGGTATGTACGCACTGTATATCATTGAATCAAAGGACCCAGCCATGTTTGTTTTTCCAGGACGTAGTGGTAAAAGAGGTTGTAGCGACATAACCATTACTGGATGCTTCAGACGTCCGCGTCCCTCATCACCGTGCAAGCATATTGGGATCGAGTGATCCCACTGAGCAGCCGGGAGCTTGAAGTCGGGATGCGTGGCACAAAAATTACGCCAGAAATCTGTCAGGTCTTGGGAAAACTGACCAGCATCACTCAAGTCCTTTCCCTGCATAAGGAAGTGCCCACCGTAGTTGAATATGGTTTCCGCCCAGTTGGATGGAAGCAAGACTGGATGTTGAACAGGAATCTTTCTTTTCTTCCGCAAATGGGTTGTCGAAACTGTGGATCGACACGGGCAGGTCCTTTCCAAAAGACCTGACTGTTCTATGCAGGTTCCTGCATATATGCGAATCAGTCCGGGTTTTCCCACACCTCGCCATCTTGGAAAGCAAAGGATCTGCCAATCCTGCAGAGCAAAAAAGTAGGCCAAAGAATGTTGAACAGGAAACGAACGCATCATGTAGCTGCATGCTAATGATATAGGTTGGGTTCACCTTTACGACGATCAGCAGTGAGACAGCAACATGAGTGCATGTTGATAAGGAGTTGCGTGCGCGCGCACTCATTTATTCCAAGGTACCATGTTTGTGAAGGCGGTTGTGTGCCACAGTAGCTAATCGCACCACACGGGCAGCTGATTCTGCCTGAGCGAGAGGTGTCACTCACACTGCACAATGATTTCACTCACACTGCTAGACCCCAAGCCTTTCAAAAGATCAGGTACTTGTATATTTGACAATGTAGCATGCAGCCAAGGGGCCCCTGCTTCAAATCCTGCCAAGAGCTCGTCTGCCAGGTCGTTGTCTTCCTCCAGATCGAGTCCTCGCTAGAAAGGTGCGCAGGAAAGAGAACAGGGGAAGCTGCGTGACTCTGACAGAGGGCTTGCCTGCACAGTCACGTCGGGAGCACAAAAGGTCACCACGGGATTGACCTGCGAATGGCCGGGCTTTGAAATGATATATGTAGTTTTGGCGTTTTGCCGAGAAGCATGCTGGTTGATCAATGCTGGCACAGCTATACGAGCTCCAAGTTTTTCAACTGGTCGCGTACGATCATATGTACTCTATATAGGCATGATCCAGTATCATGAGATACTTTCCCGGATTAGATGTTGCTATCAGGCAGCCTGCACCAAAAAAGCGGTGGACATTGATGTAGATCATGATCGATCGAAGATTATTCTTTTGCTAGCATGGATGCCAGCTGCTTTGCAACAATCCCCACGTGTGATTTTCTTGCAAATCACACCACAAAAAGCAAACTATACTGAAAACCCTAGGATTCATCTGCCGTATCAGGCTTGGGAGGGTTAGACTTCTTGGACCTTGAAGGCTTAGACTTAGAGGCCTTAGGCTTGCCCTTAGTCTTCGACTTCACGTCCTTGGTCTTGGTCTTGGGAGCCTCAGAGCCCTTTGGCTTGGCTCCCGCGGTGCCAGTGCCTTTTGGTTTCTTGGCTCCCCCAGCGCCAGTGCCTTTCGCCGCTTTGACGCTCCTGCGGTGAGGCGGGCTGTCTTTGGAGGAACTTTGACATCGACTTGGTACGGAGCCTTGACCTCACCACAAGATTGTTCAGGGCCACATCTGTACGGGTACAGGATGCACAAAGTTGAAGCATTTCTTTCTGCTGTTCAGGCCTCACCAGAATGCATATAATGAAGACAGTAAACAGTATAGAGATGCAAACAGTTTGACGGAATGCGCTATAACAAGTATCTGTATATATGTACGTGATTGACTGCCTGGCGGAACGTGTCACAGCCACATCCCCTTGAAGTGCTTCGAGTTTTGAGTACAACGTCTTCATGGTGTTGGCGTGCACCTTGATGGCATCGGCGTACCTTTGAATCAACACATGTTTTTGTTGTGAGCGTCTCCGTATTCATTCGCTTAGGCTGGTACTCCTTGGCCTGGGAGGTTTTGAGCGATGCCAGCCTGTCCTGTTCAAGGTTGGATTTCCATGGGCCAGAATTCAGGGGGAGCAGAAAACAAGAGTCTTTCGGTCCAGCACAGCAGTAGTCGAATCAATCTTTCGTCCACAAACACTCAGAAATTGAGGAAGGATCGCGATGGCTGAGCTGTTCTCTTGCACCGATGGAAACACAAGCCTGAGGGGGACGATCACTAGCCAACATCATAAAGAAAGTGGCCTTACCTGCCAAACCTGCCTAAACCTGCAATGCCGTGTATATATTATTGCAAGAAGCTTGAACGACCCGGAGCTTGCCAGGGCAGCGTCGGCTGCACCATCGTCGGCACCGCCTTCTCCTTTCTGAAGGAGCTGCTCCATGTTGGACTTGAGATCTGGAAGGGTGTCATTCAGTACCTCAAGGTTAGGATCCTCAGCCCAGCAGTTTAACTCGATGGTTAATAAATTGGCATTCAGGCATCTTTCAAATGCGGTTGGGATTGGTAAACTGTGAATAAAGGTGTTTCAAGCGGTATATTATACGCGTATGAGATGCTTGAACAACTCATCGAATTTTAGATCGCAGAACCTAAGCTGCAGATCTAGCCAAGACTCTTCGACATCCATGCGCAAATTCTCAGTAGTGGCGGTGCCCTGCTCTTCTTTGATGCTGAAAAAGTCTCCCAAAACAAGTTTGGCTTCCGCCTCACCGTGCATTGGGT